TAGTATAAAATTATATTTGTAAATGGTTTAGTGAATATAATTATCCTGTAAAATATAAATAAAAATATTTATAGGATATTTAACAATTTTCCTATTTATAAAATATGTATGTATGGTACGGCAATATCCAAAATATATATTTTATAAAAAATAATTTATTTATATATATTATGGTTTTTGTTGTTTTTTTTCATATTTAATATTCCATATTTTATATTTTATATTATATATTTGTAATCTATATTTTATATATTATAATTTATATTTTATTTTTTTAAATTTCTAATTTTTTATATTTATTATTTTATTTCCCACTATATTTTTGTAATTCCATATTTCATATTTTATATTATATTTTTCATATTCCAAATTTCATTTTTTTTATTATATATATTATATTTCTCATTTTTCAATCCATATTTTTTATTTTTTATTATTTTCTTCATATTCCTTATTTTATTTTCCACATTCCATATTTCACACTACACTTTTCACACCCTTCATTTTACGCTGTATTTTTCACACTCCATACCCCATATTTTATCTTATCTAAATTTTTCTTATTTTCTCCTAGCTTATTTCTTTTTTATTTTCTTTTTTTTTTTTAATTAAAATTTTTATTAATTTAAATTTTCATAAATTATTTCCCAATACTATTATTAAGGAATTTGTATGTGTCGTGCGCTAGCCAGGCCCGTACATGCGTATTTTGTACGAAATTCTTGCAATATTATTATCTAAGAACATGACCCGCGCGCGATCCCGGTGTATTCTTTCTACCCGACACTCCGAATTTCATATTTAGATTTTATTTCATCTGATTTCTTCTCGTGTTATATTTTCATGTTATTTGAATTTCTAAAGGTAATTTAAATTTTCTCATATTTTTTTTTATTTTACCGGAGCTAGTCTCAATTTATCTTGGCTTTTCTATATATGTCAGAAAATTTGAAATATAGTTTTTTTAAAAATAATTTATACAAAATACTCCCCAGAAATATTTAAAGAAATATTTTTCATATCTGTCTGGTATCAGAAAAGCCTTTAGGTCATGTTTCAGGGCCCTCAAAGGATAAGGAATATTTGATGCATTTTCAATGCTAGTTTTTGTTCCAT